TTTGAAAATGTGTCATATGTGCTATTTTATATGAATGAGTGATGGGTCCATGTGTTTGTAATTGCCCTTGTGCAGGCAGATGTGTGCACAAGGGAAAAAGGCGTATGTGTTTGTAATTGCCCTTGTGCAGGCAGATGCGTGCAAAAGGGCAAAAGGTGAATATATTTAATTGCCCTTGTGCAGGCAGAAGCGTGCAGACGGGCATAAGGCCAAAGTGTTTGTAATTGCCCTTGGTCAGGCAGATGCGTGTACAAGGGCAAAAGGCGGATGTATTTAATTGCCCTTGTGCAGGCAGATGCGTGCACAAGTTCAAAAGGCGGATGTATTTAATTGCCCTTGTGCAGGCAGATGCGTGCAGACGGGCATAAGACCAAAGTGTTTGTAATTGACCTTGATCAGGCAGATGCGTGCACAAGGGCAAAAGGCGTACGTGTTTGTAATTGCCCTTGTGCAGGCAGTTGCATGCACAAGGGCAAAAGGCGTATGTGTTTGTAATTGCCCTTGAGCAGGCAGATGCTTGCACAAGGCCAAAAGGCGAATGTATTGAATTGCCCTTGTGCAGGCAGATGCGTGCAGACGGGCATAAGGCCAAAGTGTTTGTAATTGCCCTTGCGCAGACAGATGCGTGCACAAGGGCAAAAGGCGTACATGTTTGTAATTGCCCTTGTGCAGGTAGATGCGTGCACAAGGGCATAGGTTCTAAGTGTTGGTAATTGCCCTTGTGCAGGCAGATGTGTGCACACGGGCAAAAGGTGTACGTGTTTGTAATTGCCCTTGTGCAGGCAGATGCATGCACACGGGCAAAAGGCGTATGTGTTTGTAATTGCTATTGTGCCGGCAGATGCGTGCACAAGGGCAAAAGGTGTACGTGTTTGTAATTGCCCTTGTGCAGGCAGATGCATGCACACGGGCAAAAGGCGTATGTGTTTGTAATTGCTATTGTGCCGGCAGATGCGTGCATAAGGGCAAAAGGTGTACGTGTTTGTAATTGCCCTTGTGCAGGCAGATGCATGCACACGGGCAAAAGGCGTATGTGTTTGTAATTGCCCTTGTGCCGGCAGATGCTTGCACATGGGCAAAAGTTGTACGTGTATGTAATTGCCCTTTTGCAGGCAGTTGCGTGCACACGGGCAAAAGGCGTACGTGTTTGAAACTGCCCTTGTGCAGGCAGATGCGTGCACAAGAGCAAAAGGCGAATGTGTTTAATTGCCCTTGTGCAGGCAGATGTGTGCACAAATGCATAAGGCGTATGTGTTTGTAATTGCCCTTGTGCAGTTAGATGCATGCACACGGGCAAAAGGCGAATGTGTTTGTAATTGCCCTTGTGCAGGCAGATGCTTGCACATGGGCAAAAGGCGTACGTGTTTGTAATTGCCCTTGGTCAGGCAGTTGCGTGCACAAGGGCAAAAGGCGTACGTGTTTGTAATTGCCCTTGGTCAGACAGATGCTTGCACAAGGGCAAATGGCGTACGTGTTTGTAATTGCCCTTGTGCAGGCAGTTGCGTGCACACGGGCAAAAGGCGTACGTGTTTGAAACTGCCCTTGTGCAGGCAGATGCGTGCACAAGAGCAAAAGGCGAATGTGTTTAATTGCCCTTGTGCAGGCAGATGTGTGCACAAATGCATAAGGCGTATGTGTTTGTAATTGCCCTTGTGCAGGCAGATGCATGCACACGGGCAAAAGGCGAATGTGTTTGTAATTGCCCTTGTGCAGGCAGATGTGTGCACAAGGGCAAAAGGCCTATGTGTTTGTAATTGTTTGTAAGAAAACCAAAGGATTTAAGAAGAAAAAAGTTCAGGATGACAAGGGACACTAAAATCCCCACAAAATCCGACCTTTATCAGGACACTTTAGCATTCTACAACATGTATGGACATTTTATTCTGTGTGTGCTTTATACTGTATTCTTCATGTGTTTTAACTGTTGATTCTCTGACCTGTGTTGGTGATTTCAATGGTTTTGTTAAGTCCTCTGAGATGACTTCTGTTGTGACCTAGGGCTATACAAGAATAAATTGTATTGTATTGTATTGTATTTATGAAAGCTGTAGGTTCTCTGACAGCTGAGGTCGAGCTGTTTTAGTTTACATTGAGTTCTATGGGGAAAATTTCTGGGTAGCCCACGTGAATTTAGTCTAGTCTGCAGTACCGCAAGAATCCCCCGAGCACATCGGTTCTTCAGCTCCAAGCTAGTAATACCCTATCCAGTTAATATAATAGATCCATGCCACGTCCACATCTCTCAATCTCTTGATCAGTCTCTCTCTCTCTCTCTGGCCTCTCTAGTCTCTCTCTGGTCTCTCTCCGGTGTCTGTCTGGTCTCACTCCAGTCTCTTCCTGATTTCTCTCTGGTCTCTCTCCCTGGTTTCTCTTTAGTCTCTCTCTGGTCTCTTACTGGTCTTTTTCTACTCTCTCTCTGGTCCCTCATTAGGTTCATGTTCAGTCAGAGTGGGTGAGCCTGCTCAGAGGGTCCAACAGGAGGAGACAGAAGAAGAGAGCAGAGTCTGGCCTTCTCCGGGAGATCTAATCTCCATCATCAGCCTCCTGATCACAGCCTCCTGATCACAGCCTCCTGATCACAGCCTCCTGATCACAGCCTCCTGATCACAGCCTCCTGATCACAGCCTCCCGATCACAGCCTCCTGATCACAGCCTCCTGATCACAGCCTCCTGATCACAGCCTCCTGATCACAGCCTCCCGATCACAGCCTCCTGATCACAGCCTCCTGATCACAGCCTCCCTCTGATGCTTCCTGCTGCGATGACACCAGATCCTCAGCTGCTAGTTGAAAGGAATCATGGCACAAGAAAGACCCCCCACATAGTCTCCCATCTGTTTCATGTGAGTCTGTATTTAACATGTGTCTTTGCGTTCTCACTCTGCGTCCACAGACCTCCTCCTCTCGGCCTCCTCTTTGCTCCTGCTTAAGGCCTGTGTACACCCGCGCTGCGCTGCTTACGGTTGCGGTTACGTTGGACCTACATAACCACAGTTTGTGGTACACTTGCGCGTTCCCCGAATGTTGTACTCCCACAACCAACCACATGATGGCGATCTCACAGGAGTTGCCTAACCAAAGCGGTCCCATTTGTGCTGCTGCTTTCTCGTAAAAACAATAGCGAAGCTTTTTGAGATCATTACATGTGTTTCTACTGTAGGTTTATGTGATAGTTCTAAACTCATCGTTTCAACTCATTTAACTGTGATGTTGTGAATAAAGACACAGTTCTTGTTGGAAATATAGTTATTATTAATTTGTTTTCAGCACAAACAGCAAAACAATAAGTGGTAAATATCTGACACAAAGTGCAGGAGGAATGGAACAGACGCAGCTACGATTCAAACAAAGACAGGAACAGTGCAAATGAAACGACTGCTATATAAAACTTATAAGTTATATATAAGTTAGATATGCAAAAGAACTGAACAGTCGTCTCCGCGTATATCAGGCTCTGAGCCCAAACTGCTTTTTCTTCGGTTCCTTCGAAACGTGAAGCAGTCTGCTCCATAGTGCCTCGTCCATGCTCCTGCAGCCGCTCCGTGCTTCCTTCCAAAACACACACAAGGACCAATCACAGCGGAGCTTCCTTGCAGTGACCCTTACAAAGTTAGACATTTTTGATGCTGCACGGCAGGCTACGTGAGGGCCTTGCGGTTCCGTTGCGCAAGTGACGTCACGTCACCTCTGTAAGCTCCGCGCGACTATACACTAGGTAAGTAGTAGTAGTAGTAGTAGTAGTAAGTAATCTTTATTTATATACCGCCTTTTCACTGCAGATCTGAGTCTCAAAGCGGTTTACAATTGTTAATTATGGGCATTTGTCTCTCACTCCACACAGAGATAGGAGCAGGGTCGCCGAACAGGAGGCGCATGCCTGAACTATTGGATATATTTTTAGTGGTAGGGGAAACCGGAGTACCCGGAGGAAACCTATGCAGACACGGGGAGAACATGCAAACTCCACTCAGAAAGGCCCTGGTCCGACCGGGATTTGAACCCAGGACCTTCTTGCTGAGAGGCGAGAGTGCTATCCACTCAGCCACCGTGCCGCCCGGAGGCTTTACTCCTGCTTACTCCTCTTTGCTCTGGCTTACTCCTGCTCACTCCTTTTTACTCCTGCTTACTACTGCTCACTCCTTTTTACTCCTGCTTACTCCTGCTCACTCCTCTTTGCTCCTGCTTACTCCTCTTTGCTCCTGCTTACTCTTGTTTACTCCTACTTACTCCTGTTTGCTCCTGTGTACAATACAATTAATTGTTTGTATTCTTTTAAGCCTAGCGTACATTGACAGAGAAACTGGGGACAACTAGTTGCAAGGCGGCTTTTGGCAACTGAGAGGAGACGGTGGGAGATGATCAGTTGCCGAAATCGGTCGATGTGCGCGCTCTTACAACTGGAGATAAACAGTCGGTCTTCAGTTTCAGTCAGTTGCCCGTGTTCTACTTTTCGGCAACTAGTTGTCCTCAGTTTCGGAGATATGACCCGATGTGCGCGCTCCATGCGCCGCTCCGACAACGTGTGTGTATTGTGTGTATTGCGCCCGCAACAGTTTATGTCAGAAAACACACTGTAGTTGAGGCCAGTTGCTGTCGATGTACGCGCTGTTATTCCCGAGACTGGTCTGATACTGGGAGTTGCCCGTTTTCGTCAGATTGTCGATGTGTGCGGGGCAGCAACTCATATGCGACGGATATAATCAGTTGCCAGTCCGATGTACGCTAGGCTTTACTGCCCTATCTCACAACAGCAGACATCTCAGAGGACTTAACAAAACCATTTAAATCACCAACAAAGATCAAAACAAAAAATATACTGTAGAATACATGTGTATTGGTCCATGGAGAGAGACCAATGTCCATGAATGTTGATAAATGTCAACACATGTTGTAGAATGTTAAAGTGTCCTGGATCATCCCAACAGTCCTTCTTGTTACACACTAACTGTCCAATAGACACTCCTGGAAAAACTTGAAATCTCCTTCGGCAGAGACACAGGAATGCAGCTGGGAACGCTGAGCTCTCACACTTTGACAGCAGAGATGCAGCAGAACCGACGGGCTATAAACCAAAAGGTCAGATTCTGCATTATTTATGAGCATTTCAGCGCTTAAACATGAGCCGGGAAAACTTTCAGCAGAGAATATGGACATGAGAGGAAGAGAGACGGCTGGACGAGGATGAAGGCAATACCCCCAAGTTTTCTGTAGCCATGAGTTATGTAGATTTTAAAGACAGAAAAATGAAAATTTGTGAATAGAGCTTTTGGAAATTATTTGAGTCACAAACCTTGATATTGTTATGGATGGACTTAAATGTGTCCTCTGTGTTTTTAACTGGTTCCTCTCAGATGCAGGAGGGTCTAGGACAGTTATGATCCAGGACTGCACTGTCTCTCTGGTCCCTCTCTCCTGTCTCTCCCTGATCTCTCTGGTCTCTTCAGATGCAGACTGAAACAGCACTGCAGAGACACAAGAAAAAGAGAGAGACCATACAGAGAAGCTACCAGAGACACCAGAAAGACCCCAGTGAGAGAGACTAGAGAGAGAGACCAGGGAAAGTATACCACAACTCTAAACTTATTAAATAAAAATAAAATAAAACACTAAAACTGCTCCTGATACTTACACATAAATCACAGAATTTACAATCAGATCCCTGAGGCTAAAGCTGCAGCTACTGTCCGTGGTCCTGAACCTAATGTAAAATAATGATCACAGTTTTAGTGTGTGAACTCGTCCTGACCCTGAAAAGATGATGCAGAACAAGACTGCAGTTACACACCAAGACTCACTCTCAGAAAACTGTAAAAGTCACTTTGTTCCACCTCTGAAACTGTAAAAACACCAAAGTGTGTGTTACGGCACAAAATGGGGACCCAAAAAGTAACTCAAGCAAAAAAATGGCAAATTCATTGTGGAGTGGGAGGCAAAGCTGGAAGGACCAGAGGCGAATGTGAAGTGGCTGACAGGAACACAGGAACTGCCAAAGAACAAATAACAAGGAAAGTGTAAAAGTGTAAAAGTCCTCTGTGTTTTTAACTGCTTCCTGGCTAAATGTCAGCACTCAGCAGACGAAAACAATCTGGCACCAACAGGCTGTGGAGCTGGGCTGTTGTAGTCTGCTGCCTGGAGAGCAGGCAGCAGGAGAGCAGGCAGCAGGAGAGCAGGCAGCAGGAGAGCAGGCAGCAGGAGAGCAGGCAGCAGGAGAGCAGGCAGCAGGAGAACAGGCAGCAGGAGAGCAGGCATCAGGAGAGCAGGCAGCAGGAGAGCAGGCAGCAGGAGAGCAGGCAGCAGGAGAACAGGCATCAGGAGAGCAGGCAGCAGGAGAGCAGGCAGCAGGAGAGCAGGCAGCAGGAGAGCAGGCAGCAGGAGAGCAGGCAGCAGGAGAGCAGGCAGCAGGAGAGCAGGCAGCAGGAGAACAGGCAGCAGGAGAGCAGGCAGCAGGAGAACAGGCATCAGGAGAGCAGGCAGCAGGAGAGCAGGCAGCAGGAGAACAGGCAGCAGGAGAGCAGGCAGCAGGAGAACAGGCAGCAGGAGAGCAGGCAGCAGGAGAGCAGGCAGCAGGAGAGCAGGCAGCAGGAGAGCAGGCAGCAGGAGAACAGGCAGCAGGAGAGCAGGCAGCAGGAGAACAGGCAGCAGGAGAACAGGCAGCAGGAGAGCAGGCAGCAGGAGAGCAGGCAGCAGGAGAGCAGGCAGCAGGAGAGCAGGCAGCAGGAGAGCAGGCAGCAGGAGACAGGCAGCAGGAGAGCAGGCAGCAGGAGAACAGGCAGCAGGAGAGCAGGCAGCAGGAGAACAGGCAGCAGGAGAACAGGCAGCAGGAGAGCAGGCAGCAGGAGAGCAGGCAGCAGGAGAGCAGGCAGCAGGAGAGCAGGCAGCAGGAGAACAGGCAGCAGGAGAGCAGGCAGCAGGAGAACAGGCAGCAGGAGAGCAGGCAGCAGGAGAGCAGGCAGCAGGAGAACAGGCAGCAGGAGAGCAGGCAGCAGGAGAACAGGCATCAGGAGAGCAGGCAGCAGGAGAGCAGGCAGCAGGAGAGCAGGCAGCAGGAGAGCAGGCAGCAGGAGAGCAGGCAGCAGGAGAACAGGCAGCAGGAGAACAGGCAGCAGGAGAGCAGGCAGCAGGAGAGCAGGCAGCAGGAGAGCAGGCAGCAGGAGAGCAGGCAGCAGGAGAACAGGCAGCAGGAGAGCAGGCAGCAGGAGAACAGGCAGCAGGAGAACAGGCAGCAGGAGAGCAGGCAGCAGGAGAGCAGGCATCAGGAGAGCAGGCAGCAGGAGAGCAGGCAGCAGGAGAACAGGCAGCAGGAGAGCAGGCAGCAGGAGAGCAGGCAGCAGGAGAACAGGCAGCAGGAGAACAGGCAGCAGGAGAGCAGGCAGCAGGAGAGCAGGCAGCAGGAGAGCAGGCAGCAGGAGAGCAGGCAGCAGGAGAACAGGCAGCAGGAGAACAGGCATCAGGAGAGCAGGCAGCAGGAGAGCAGGCAGCAGGAGAGCAGGCAGCAGGAGAGCAGGCAGCAGGAGAGCAGGCAGCAGGAGAGCAGGCAGCAGGAGAGCAGGCAGCAGGAGAGCAGGCAGCAGGAGAGCAGGCAGCAGGAGAACAGACTGCGGTGTGACAGTTTGGCCTCTCAAACTCTGCTCTTCTTACATTTTTTTAAACATTCTTCATCCATTTGTTGTAGGTTGTGTTCACAATCAAGTGTCATTTATTGTATCCGGATTTTGTAACTCCAAAACATAATATATCTTTGTAATTATTAAAATATAGTTTTTGGCTTTCTGTCACAGTTTTGCGCCCTTTAGTGTAAACAAGCCCTGTACAATGGTCACAGTCAGTGAAATTATAATAATGAGTGTGTTAAGTAAGGGATAAACAGAACGCAGGTCATAATCAGAAAATAAGTACCACCAGGGCGAACCGAACCCTGACGCACAGTGAATGGGTCTGATTCATAAAAAAAAAAAAAGTAAATGAATGTTAATGGTCACTTCCAGGTTTAAAGCAATCACATTTTGTTTCATAAAAAAAGTATTTTTGTCATGAAAACGTGAACAGATCATCCTGAAAACCTCTGTGCATGTGTATTGAGAATATATATGTATAATGTATTATCTCATAAACATTTAAATGTGTGGATTGATGTTATTTGTGATTATTGAGCAGAGCTAGCATGGCTAGGGGATAAACAGCTAGCCACACTAGCTTCTCTCGCAGAGACCAATAGATACTAGCGTAAATATGCTTGTTGACAAAGTGGCCAGACTACTTGCAGAGTGATCTTTTCACATCAGAATAACAAACAGAGTGCGTTGCCAAAGGGCAGCGGCCATTATTGGTTTCGAGAGGTCCGTTAAAAGCAATAATGATCAGTAAACATTTTGAAATTACATTCAGATAAAAGGACCGCTCTACTGCTGCTATGAGGATCTGTAAAGTATTTTCTCAACACAACGCTAATGTGCTTTAATTTGTACTTTCACTCCAGTTTTTCACGCCACAAAATGTAAAGAGCTGCAACCTATAGGTGGCGCTGTATTAAAGGAGCAGGAATCTCAGTTTCCTGAGATGTCGTGAGTTTGGCTGTTGTTCTACGTTATCATGACTTATGTAACTGATTATTCCATTCAAATCAATGTACTCACAATAAATCACAACAGTAGTTCTCTTGGGGGTATCAATGGTTTCTCTCTCTCTCTATCTCCCTCTCTATCTATCTCACTGGTCCATCTTCTCTCTCTCCCACTGGTCTTCTCCCTCTCTCTCTCAGGGCAGAGTTGCTGCTGAGGCTCACATTAGTTAGTTTGAGAGCATTCAGAGCCTGTATATGAATCCCCTCAGGTTCTGTAAACGTCCCCATCTCTAACACAATTATTGCTCTAATAAAGTCACTGCTGAACTTATGGGTCATAATCTCACTCAGCTGCAGCTCCAGGCCAAAGCAGACCAAAGAAGACCAAACCAGACCATAGCAGACCGAAGCAAGCCAAAGCACACTAAAGCAAACCAAACCAGGTCCAAGCAGACCAGGCCAAAGCACAGCCCCCTCAGCTCAGATTAGAGCAGAGACCAAAGGCTTCAGCTCGAGCTCTTCTTGATGTTTGACTTTCATTCCTTGCCCCTCAGTTTTGTCCTGGATTTTGACTCATTTATTCTCAAACCAATAGAATTATCGTTACAGAAATACATATACTGTATGTCTGCAATATGGTACTTCTCCTGATTATCACTGTAACTATTCAATCACAATCACGGTACATAGCCATGTACTGTAAGTAACAGGAAGGCACAGACCAAGAAATTGCTTTGGCTCGGTGCAACAGTCAAAGAAAGAAGATAAAGAACAGGGTAAGGTATAATAAAAATCAGCAAAACTTCTAAGGTATAAAAATTGAAATTAAATTATTACAATTACATTATACAATATACAAGTGCACACACAATATGCAGAAAGCAGAGCAACTTTCTCTGCAGAGCGCACAATGCGCTCTAGTAATGTGAGTCCTGAACCATACAACACTCAACACTTTGCTGAGTGTGAGTGAGATCAGCTGTCTCCTCTAAACAAGCTGATCTCCTCTCTGCTCCTGTGTCAGGCTGTAGACCCAGGACTGAGGCTGTAGATCCAGGACTGAGGCTGTAGATCCAGGACTGAGGCTGTAGACCCAGGACTGAGGCTGTAGATCCAGGACTGAGGCTGTAGACCCAGGACTGAGGCTGTAGATCCAGGACTGAGGCTGTAGATCCAGGACTGAGGCTGTAGATCCAGGACTGAGGCTGTAGACCCAGGACTGAGGCTGTAGATCCAGGACTGAGGCTGTAGACCCAGGACTGAGGCTGTAGACCCAGGACTGAGGCTGTAGACCCAGGACTGAGGCTGTAGATCCAGGACTGAGGCTGTAGATCCAGGACTGAGGCTGTAGATCCAGGACTGAGGCTGTATAGATCCAGGACTGAGGCTGTAGACCCAGGACTGAGACTGTGGATCCAGCACTGCTCAAACTGCAAATGTATTAAGCAATTAGCAACTTTTTTTTCCCCCATAAGCAAAAAATATATCGGTGCAGTGATGTTGAATTATGTCTGTTTTCTAGATTCAAAGAAGGAAAAGACATTGAACAAAGTCATTCAAATCAGGAGCGGTGTTTTAGTTTATATAATTTATACTTGTCCACAACATAAAGGCTTACACACATACCATCCTTAGGCACACACACGCACACACACACACACACACCACACACACACACACATTACACATACAGTGAAAAGGCGTTTGTGTGATGTAGCCGCAGGGTTCAGCTGGTTTGTCCAAGTGCATGCTGGGTAAATCCATGCTTGAATAATAAGTGTTTGGAATCACTGTGGAACATTAGGTCTGTGTGTTTGCAGCTCAGGCATCTGCTCCTGGGGTCAGAGGTCACTTCCCACCGACGCAGAAGAAGAAGGCGTTTGTGTTTTTACACAAACATGTACATCTTCCTGCACAGAGGTGACTGAGTCCTGCACTGAATAAGAAGAGAGATGTCTATCACTTTCATCGCAATTAGACCTCAACTGAAATTCCAAGAGCCCTGGTTCCTTCGCAGAAAAACAGCCCCATTGTATGATGTTTCCACCCCCATGTCTACACCTGAGAAACTCCAGCACCAGGGTCTAGACCTGTTTACAGATGCTGTCATCTCCTTCCATATTTTATTTTTTGAGCCCCTTGATGCCACTTTTGAGGCTTCCTTCAAGTAAGACTTTTTTCCACTTTCTTCATAATGGTCTTAATCTCCTGCTCTGTGAAGTTTTTCCTTGGCCGTCTTCCTTTCAATTGTCGCAAAAACAAGGCGTGAATCAAATTTATAGGCATGACTTTCATTGTTACGTTCTTTTTCAACCGCCACATTTATCAACAGCTGCTGTGCTACGCTTTGATCAGGGCGGATCTCACACGTTCATAAATTCCATGTTGGATCTTGCGTATTTGGAATATACCCCCAAAATGTACACCCTATTCAGCGCAAGTTTCATAAATGAGGGGCCAATGAGAACACCTTTTGTCGGCCCAAACAGTCTAATAATGACTCACAGGGCTCTGAGTTTATGGTCTGATCCGTCCACAACATTCCACTTCAACAGTAAAAACATCTGAGCATCCTTTTATCCAATACACTAAAGTAAAAGTGATCTATCTTTGGATAACCTCCAAATAACAAGTGTAATGGACCGACAGAAGAGAAGAGAAGAGTTTCTTCCTCCTGAGACAAACTGGAGTCTGAGTGCGTCACTACTTGATCTTTGCGCATTTAGTTTTATTGATTTGAAGTCTCTCCGGGAAAAACCCCACAGAGATATAACAGCTGCAGAGACAGAGACGGCAGGAGACAAAGACCAGGCCCAGGGTGAGACTGCTCGTTAGTCTGGACACCTGTGGCTACAAACACTGTTTATTCTTTCTAATTTTATCAAGAACTATTTTATTATCATTATTATTATTATTTTCAGATTGTTACTTTAATGTTATATTTTATTTTATATTGTGAAATACTATGCAAGCTACTGTGACGTTTTCCCTTGTGGATCAATAAAGTCTAAGTCTAACTGAAAAGTGGGGACAGGAGTAATTGGAGATCTCACTTTTGTTGCAGTCAATTAATTTCAATTATTTCAGAGGAATTTACAAAGCTGTCCATTCGCCAACGAAGGAAATGCAAGGACAAAAACACATAGAGCCATTGGTCCATAAGGGGCAGATTGCACAGAACGGTTGCCTCTTTTCTGTCAGTGTGCCCCAGGGCAGCTGTGGCTATTGTACTTTATCACCACTGAGTGTAGAGTGAATGAATGTTAAGGGGGGCTTCTTCAGTCCTGTACCGGAACTGTCCACGCTCTGCAGCCGCTACGTGGCCTTGGTCCTCGTTCTGTAGCTTAGGTCCTGGATCTATGTCTTTCTCTCTTTTTTCCTGCTGAGCTTTTGTAAGTTTTTCCTTGCCGATGCAGGAGGGTCTGTTGGGCAGTTAGTGTCCAACAAAAAGGACTGTGGTGATGATCCAGGACACTTTAACATTCTACAACATGTATGGACATTTATCAACATGTGTTCTATATTCTTTTTGTGTCTTAACTGTTGATTCTCTGATCTGTTTTGGTGATTTCAATGGTTTTGTTAAGTCTGTTAATACTGTTATGATTTAGGGCTATACAAGAATAAATTGTATTATTGCATTGTATTGGAATGACTCCATAAAAAATCTGTATAAAACCAATGCATTATTACTATCATTTTGCATTTGGGACAAAAAGAGGAGGGGTAGAACATGCAACGTCCACTGGGCCGTGTGTAGACCAGGATTCAAACCCACAGCCTACAGTCACTGATGACTTTACCTCGGCCTGTTGTCAGTCAGTCTGCAGTTATTCTTAAACTTTCCTTTGAATGAAGTGACAGTGAAACATGGACATGTTTATGTTTCTGTCTGTAAGTATTTTGCGCCTCACTGAATAGAACAAGCCCCTTCACCCCCTGGGCCTGTCTCTCTGTCTCTGTCACAGGTGCATTGTGGGAACTGTAGTCTCTGGGGGACAGTGGCTGCCTCTGTTTGTGCAAATGTGTCGTGTTTTATT